TTGGCCCTCCGCCGGCGGAGGAGTTCGGGAGCCTTCACATCCGGAGTAACCGGAAGTACTTTGATTTTCTTCGTTTCTCCGCTGACGTCTACTTGGTTTAAAAAGAAAGTACCCGGATTTCCGTGGGCGTCCGCCCCGCCCCTGGTTTTACTCTCATCTCCATATAAAGAGGCGGCTGGGTGAAGGGTAGGAGGACGCCAGGTGGATTAAGGCGCAAAGTAAAGGGGTCCTTTATCTACATCCGTCTTAGTTCCCTCCCCCGGGTCTCTGTTTGAGGGCGGGCTATGTCTCTGCACCAGCCTTGTTGGGCTTCACTTCCTCTGCCCCCCGACCTGTGCTCTCCCGCGCCCTCTCCTCCGGCACCAGCACCAGCACCAGCGCCAGCGCTGGTTGAAGACCATCTGTCGCTTCGGCAACCTCTGGACGACTCTCCCCGCCTCTCCCTCTCCCTCCCGTCCGCGCTCCGTTTCCAATCATTCAGATCTGACTATGTCATTGCCTTCCTAGGATTCCTTCCTGGCTCCCAGGTGCCGCAGGATAAAACACCCCCAGGCCCTGCCCGCTGGGCCCCTGCCCACTGGTCTCCGTCACCCCCCTGCCCCAGACCCACCTCCAAGGGCCGCGTCTCTCCAGCCGCCTGGCTTCGTCTCGCCTGTTGCCGTCTTATTCTCACTCCCTCTCATCCTCCTGCTCCCGGTTTAAGCGCCACTGCTGAGGGCGGTACCACGTGGAAGGCGATGTACCGTACAGGGACCCGTTTTCCCCAGGCCGGCGTTAAGAACGAGTTATTGTTGGTTTGTTTTTAAATGAATGAGCGCTGTAATTAAACGTAAGACTTCGGGGGCCACTCCAGGGTTGTCAACTCGCCAGCACGATTCAGAACACACTGAAAGCAGGAGAGATGCACGATTTCAAGGGAGATTAAGTGGAGCACTTTTAGGAATGGACACTTGCCTTAGCATTGCCCCGTCCTGCACTGCCACCAACACACACTCACTCACACTCACACACACACACTCATCCATCTCAGTGAAGCTGGAAGCCTCCCAGTTAAAAGGTGCATAATCACTGTGTGTGTGTGAATGACTGACTTTCCTCCTCTCCTCTCTTCACCCTAACCCTACTCAACGTTTTCTTTTTATCTTGGGAGATGAAATGAGCAGGAAGTACCATTGGATTGCGTTCACTTACACATTAAGCAAACATTTCCTGAGCCCTTACCTCCCGCACAAGCCAGGGGCAGCATTCATACTGTATTTGTATAGTGTCCCCTGGAGCTGAGCACCGATTGGGCAGCTGAAATCAACATAACAACCCCTCAGCCCTTCCAGGAGCTGATGGGGAACAATCAGGTGCCAACGCTACTTTGCATCTGCTAGACTAGTCCTTTTCTTTTTTATTTATTTATTTATTTAGGTATTACATATGTGTCCTTATCTCCCTTTTATAACACATTATTTCATTCTGTCCTTACTGTAACTCGAATGAATGTTTGTATGAGGAAATACAGGCTTAAAGAGGGTGAAATCCTCACAAAGCAGCGTTCTCTCTTTGAGAGAACTCCAAATTAACTAAAAGGGTTTTTATTTATTTATTTTTAATATATTTTTGTTGATTTCATAGAGGAAGGGAGAAGGAAGGGGGAAAGAAACATCAGTGATGATAGAGAATCATTGATTGGCTGCCTCCTGCACGTCCCACACTGGGGATGAACCATCATCTGATTCATAGGTTGATGATGCTCAACCACTGAGCCGCCCTGGCCAGGCACTATAAGGTTTTTAAAAAATATATATTTTATTGATTTTTCACAGAGAGGAAGGGAGAGGGATAGAGAATTAGAAACATCAATGAGAGAGAAACATCGATCAGCTGCCTCCTGCACACTCCCCACTGGGGATGTGCCTGCAATCAAGGTACATGTCCTTGACCGGAATCAAACCTGGGACCCTTGAGTCCGCAGGCTCACGCTCTATCCACTGAGCCAAACTGGCTAGGCATGCATTTAATAAAAATATTAATTTTTATATTTCTCTTATATTTTGGAGCTAACTTGAGACATTAGTTCAGGTCTTAAACATGTCATAGGTTCTTGAAAACTCATACGTACATGCCTGATGGGGAAAACAATCCAAGGGTCAGGTGGAGGGCGAGAGTGGAGACTTCTGTTGTGCTGTCCTGGTGGAAGATGGGGTGCGCTCTCTCTAGGCCATCCCTGTGGGTGCTCTCTCTCAGCACAGCCCTGCATCTCTAGATCATGACGGGGCCTCTCCCTCTCCCAACGTTTCAGTCCAAGGCCATCTCTTCCCCACTGAGCTTCATCTGCTTCTGACTTTCCTATGTGAGTCACAGCCTTCCAAGTCATCAGTTCATCCCTTCAACTCAGGCTTATTGAGCCCTACTGTGTGTCAGCCATCACACAAGGAAAAAGAAAGATGCATCAGAAATGGTTCCCGGTCTAGGGAGGAGAAAGACAAAGCAAACAGTTCAGTGTGCTGCAGGCTCATAGGCAAACTGACTATATTCTTAGAACAAAAATTGGGGGACAGCCTGCAATGAAGATTCTTTGTTCACTGAATATTTATTGCGGTTTACCATGTGTGAGGCTCTGGATCCAGAGTGATGAACAGGACGCTGTCCTTCTGAAGTATGGTAGCAGTCATCTCAGGTAGAAACTATAGTTTAATTTTAACCCTGCTGTTTGGTTTCTGTACTTACTTGTTTGCTAAAATAATAGAAAAGTTATTTTGATTTTCTGAATTATATAAATTATCCCATTCGATTGCCTGTAAACTTTTTTTAAAAAATATATATTTTATTGATTCTTTACAGAGAGGAAGGGAGAGGGATAGAGAGTCAGAAACATTGATGAGAGAGAAACATCGATCAGCTGCCTTCTGCACACTCCCCACTGGGGATGTGCCCGCACCAAGGTACATGCCCTTGACCGGAATCGAACCTGGGACCCCTGAGTCCGCAGGCCAACACTCTATCCACTGAGCCAAACCGGCCAGGGCTAAACTGCTTTTTTTTGCAAACCAGGTTCCTCATTCCAAACCTTGGGATGTAATCAATACCTTTGTGATCTTTGCCTATATAAGTCTGGTTTTGCGGCCATCTTATTACTATGAGATTTGGGGAATGGCCCATCATAGTCCCGGATTGCAATAAATGTGACTCTTTAATTCGACTTCTTGAGGCGTCCTGTGATTCGCGGGGTACATTACAACACTTCTCATGGTCAGAGAAGGGAGACAGGCAATAAGCAAGTATCAAACAAAAGACTAAGATGATTTCACTGCTAGTGTAAGAGATCATCGGTGTGATCACCATACAGGAGACTTTAGCACCATCAGGCTATCAATTACACATCACCCTTAAACCAGCAACTCACCCAAACCCTCAACCAGCAACTTTTCTCCTAGGTATAACTTACACAAGTGCAAAATGGTATAAGTATGAAGCTATTCATGGCAACGTTGTTGGTTATTTTCAATAGGAAAGGAAACAACTAAATGTATGCTGATAGGGAATGGATTACATTGATTGAGAGAGATCCATTCAGTTACAGTGGAATACTGAACAAAAATGAATAGGAATGGAGCAGATTCATAAGGCACTGACATGGAAAAATATTCCTATTCTTGGTAAGTATGAAAAGCAAGATGAAAATGGTATGTGTGTGTGTATATGTGTGTGTCTATACATGTTACCTCATGTGAAGAAAAATAAGAGTATATGGTGTTTGTTATTTTAGAGAATATATCTAGAAAGACTTATAAGAAAGTGGAAATAGTTGTTGCACCTGGACAGGAGTGAAACTGGGTTGCAAGGAAGTGAGGGACACTTTTTACTTTTATACCTTTTAAATTTTGTACCATTTGTCCATATCGTCATTTAAAAAGAAAGAAAAGTGTTTTGTTGTTGTTTTTAATCCTCACCCGAAGATATTTTCCCATTGATTTTTTAGAGAGTGGAAGAGAGAGGGAAAGACAGAAATATCAATGTGAGAGAAATACATCAATTGGTTGCCTCCTGCACGCCCCGGATCAGGGCCAGGCCGGGAGGGGCCTGTAACCAAACCGAGGTACAAGGTACATACCCTTGACCAGAATCAAACCTGGGATCCTTCCGTCTACAGGCCAGTGCTCTACCCACTGAGCCAAACTGGCTAGGGTAGGAAAAAAATGTTTTAAAAAAAGTGTATATGGTCACAAGTGTTGAGTTACATCATTGGATAATGTAATAGTGAGAGAAAGTAAGGGGGTGGGGAGGCCGGAGAGACTGCCTTGAGTGGTCAGAGAAGCCTTTTTGAGAAAGTAACAGTTTGAACCGAAACCTGCAGGACCAGAAAGAACCGGCTCTGCAAACACCTCAGGGCAGGTTGTTCTAGGCTCAGTGGACAGGGAGTGCGAAGGCCCTAAGGCAGGAACAAACTTAGCATCTTTGAAAAACAAAAAAGAAGGTCAAGGTGAAAGGCTTAGGGGAAGGGAAGCCACTGGGAGGTGTGTTAGCCCTGGAGTGAAGTAAATGATCTGATTTTTATTTAAAACATTTACTTTCACTGTTGAGGGGAAGAAGGAGGGGTGGTGGGGGGGATTGAAAGGGGAGGAGAGCAGCACTAGGAGATCAAAGGCGAGTGCTTCCTTCAAGGACAACTGATGGCCCTTAGATTAGCTGGTGGTGGCCCTGGGAAAAGGGTAACCGGGAGGGAAAATCGTAGACGGAAGAGAAATGGGTCAATCTTAAAGAATGATTGGCTGCAGAGGGCAAGGAAAAAGAGAAAAAAACAACAGTGTGGGTTCAGTGAATAAAATTATTTAAACTAGAATTGTCCCCCCTAAATCAGGTCATCA